ATTTTCACTTTGTTTTGACAAAAAGCAACCATGACATTTAACAGTGACTCACCTGCAAGAGAATGATAAAGAAATCAGGCAGTAGATCAAATGAAAATCAGTCACTAAGTCATATATAAATCTGATTCACTCTGATACTCACCTTTGGTTGGATTTTCATGGGTATCTCTGTCTGGAAATTCCAAATGTATCTACTAAAAGCAGATACTTTAATGGTTATAAACTTAGGGATACTCTGAACAGAGAAGTTCAGGAACTGGGAGACCCATAGGCAAAGGCATGAGATAAATAAGTCTAAATTCAGGACAGGTCCAGGACAAATTTTCTTAATAATGTGATATTTTTCACAGAACTGATAACTTCTAAAAAGAGCAACAAAACTAAAATCATCCTTGGAAATTGAAAGCAGTTTCATAATTTCCTACTAAATAAGTATTGATTTAATTTTGACATTCAGTATTTAAAATTGGTTTCACCATGTGTCATTCAGAGTTGAATTTATCCCAGGGACATTTAAGTAAGTTGCTGGTAAGTGTAGTGTCAGTACAGTAATGATAATGGGAAGAAAATTATAAAAAATCCATACATTTCAAACTTTAAAAAATTTTGTAGCACAGTTACATTACATATTCCAGATAGAGCCCTTACCATCCCTGTGTCTTCCCTTAAACATCCAAGGGAATTATAGATGCAGTATCAAGATTTAAAGAAAGGTCCAAAAAGCATTTTAGATCCCCCAAATAACACAACTGGAAAGGACTTTTTTGATCCAACATACTCATTTCACAGGAGCAGAGACTGAGGCACTGAATTGACTTATGTTGAATGACAACAATAACAAGGTTTAGGAAGATTTTACAATCCAAGTAAACAGGCAATCACTGTAATCACATTATTTGCATGTGAACATCAATTATAAGGAGAAACTTGAAGGTGATGGTCTTTCCGATAATACTTGACATAGAAAAGAGAAGAGAAGATAAAAGGACCACCAAATATGACAAATAAACATGTAAAAAATGCTTCACATTGTGTGTCATCAGAAAAATGCAAATTAAAACACCAGTGAGATATCACTATACACCTATGGGAATGCCCAAAATTCAGAACACTAACACCACCAAATGCTGGCAAGGATATGGAGCAATGAAGGGGGACTCTTATTGCTGATGGGAATGAAAAATGCTACAGCCACTTTGGAAAAGAGTTTGACAGTTTCTAATCTACTAATCATACACTTACCATGTGATTAGCAATTGCACTCCTGGTATTTCCCCTAAGGAGTTAAAAATTTATGTCCATATGAAAATGTGCACATGAATGTTTATAGCAGCTATATTCATAATTGTCAAAACATGGAAGCAATCAAGTCCTTCAGTAGATGAATAGTATATAAACTGGTGTATCTACACAATAGGATATTATTTAACACTAAAAAGAAATGAGCTATCAAGCCATGAAAGGACATGGAAGAACCTAAATGCATATTACTAAGTGAAAGAAGCCCATATGAAAAAGCAACATACTGTATGATTCCAATTATATGACATCTGGAAAAGGCAAAACTGGACACAGTAAGACCCAAGTTGCCAGGGGTTGGGGTGGGGAGTGGAGGAAGAAGGGATTAATAGGCAGAGCACAGAGAATTTTTAGGACAGTGAAAATACTCTGTATGATACTATAATAATGTATACATGTCATTATACGTTTGTCCAAACCTACAGAATGTACAACACCAAGAGTGAATCCTGAGGTAGACTATATGGACTTTCGGTGATTATGATGTGTCCATGTAGGTTCATCAGTTGTAACAAATGTACCACTCTGGTAGAGGATATTGATAACAGGATGCAAGGCCTGTGTGGGGGCAGGACATATATGAGAAGTCTCTGTATCTGTCTCTCCATTTTACTGTGAACCTAAAATTGCTCTAAAAACATAGACCTGAGGATAGAAAAGTTTGAGAGAGATAGTAATGGGTTAGCCTGATCCCAGATTGTCTTGGTGGAGTTTGTGATGAGCTCAGTCTAATCCAAAGGAGCCATTGTTTTCACTCCTATAATTTGTTAAAGACAAATTGCACCAAACAGGTTAAACTGGCAAGGAAGACTTTATTCAAGACTATTGTAATAGGGATTGAGGTTATTGAAATAAGGGAGACAGTGAACTCAATTCTGTTGAAACAAAAGGTAGAAGAGTTTTTAAACACTGGGGTAAATTATTGGAAAACTACAGGAGGACACACTGGTCAATGTGATTAGATCATCTGTGTTTGCTAATTGTTGCTTATCAAAGTTAGGCTCCTACCTTCCCACAAAGACTCAGAGATAGGAATACTATCTTTCTTGATGATTACTTCTCAAGGGGATGGTTCCTGGGTCTTAGAGGAAAATATCTTTGGGTTACAAGAGTCTCAGAGAAGATTTATATCTGAGAGGCAGAGAAAGAATTTACAATTGCAAGTTTTCAATAAAAAGGGGAATTGGGGCTTATATTCAGGAAGACACCTGTCTAAAGTATTATCAAGGTAAGGCGAATGGTAAGGCTCTCTTGGCATGATACCACTATTTTGTAAGTCACCTTTTGTACATATTCACATGACATTTATGATTGTCTAGATGAGTCAGATGCTCAGGGAAGTACATGCTTAGAGTCTCACAATAAAGACTTGAAGGAAGTTGCATTTAGACTTTTCACTAGTACTTATTCTACTGTGTTAGCTTGTTTCTTTAAAATAACTAATATTTGGGTAATATTTACAGTTTCTATAGCACTTTCATGTAGATTATCCAATTTGCATTTCACACTGAAGCACAGGTAGAGAAGCAATAATTACCTTTAATTATAAATGAGGTAATTGAAACTCTGAGGAATTAGGAGACTTTCCAAATAATGGAATCGGAATCCAGATCTCATGATCCCATTAACTAATGAATTAAGCACATATTTAGACAAATACCCAATATGTGTTCAAGTTCTATGTCAAGAGCTAGAGATTCAAAAGGAAGCAATGTTTCTGCCCTCGTGGAGCTTGCATCCTAATGAGAGATGAAAAGACAGAATGAAAGGAAAGAAATATGAGAAGGAGATTATGACAGGAACCAATGAGGGCATTGAGGGAAAGGGTATCCTGTCAGGGAGGCTAGTTTTGCTTCTTTGAATGAGATGTTTGGGAAGGCTTCTCTGAGGAGTGGACATTTGAGCTGAGAACTAGCATGATAACATTCCTAAGAGAGGGGACAGTAACTATACAAGTCTAGAGGGGGAAGCAATCAGCAAAATACTTATTATGTGCCAGACATACTTCCCAGCCCTTTATGAATATGAACTTCTCTAATGCTCAAAGCATCCTTTGAGGTAGCTTTTTTTTTTTTTTTTTACTCCAAAGTTATAAATGGCCACTAGAGGTACTGGAGGAAGGCTGGTGTGGCTGCTGCATAATGGGAAGGTAGGAGTATAGATAAAGCTGAGGTCAAAGAGGGACATAAGAGTCAGGCTGCTCAGGGCCGTGAGCCATTAGAAGGACCTGGGGTTTTATTGTACAAACTATGAAATAAACTAGAGTGTTTTCAGCAGGGAAGTCATGAGGTCTGACTTACCTACATCACATCAAACATTTGTTTATAGACTCCAGGGTGCCTGGGTGGTGCATCCGTTAAGCGTCTGACTCTTGGTTTTGGCTCAGGTCATGATCTCAGGGTCATGAGATAGAGCCTCGTGTCGGCCTCTGCACTGGGCTTTGCACTCAACACAGTCTACTTGAGTTTCTCTCTCCCTCTGCCCTTCCTCTCCATGCATTCTCTCTCTCTCACTCTTTCTCTCTCAAATAAATAAGTAAATCTTAAAAAAAAATAGGTATTCCTTCTCTCTAATGTTTGCTATTTATATTCAGGAACTACTCCTGAGGCCAACTATTATAAGCCCTCTACCTTAGAAAATAGGTGAGGGGAAAGAGTAAAAGGGTTGGTTGGAGAGAGGTGGGGCTGAAGCTAGACCATACCTTATTGTGTGGAAACCCTCCAGCAAAACACTGGGGCATGTGTTACAGTATTGATATTGACAGATATCTGTGTCTTGTCAACATGGGAGAGCTTTGGGGTATAAACATTATAGTGTTTTTTATAAACATTTTACTTATTTTTTTTTTAAGTTTTTTATTTATTTAATAAATCTCTATGTCCAACATGGGGCTCAAACTCAGGACGCTGAGATCAAGAGCTGCATGCTCCACCGACTGAGCCAGCCTGGTGCCCCTCTAAATGGTCATTTCATTTTAATACACTTACTGCAACTCCTTATCACTAGTAGCATCATTCTGGATATTTTTTCAACAAGCACATTTATCTCTGGTTATTCAAAGTAGTTGGCATGTTGATCTGCAGATTTATGCCTCTTTGAAGAGACTGTGTTTATTATTACTATGTTGAGACAGTTTATCAAGGTTAAAGTATAAATGAAAATAACCAATATCTTACACAGGAGATTCAGGAGGAAAGTTGCAATTCGTTCTTGATTCTGAGTACATGGAGCTTAGGTTGATACTTGATATATACCTGGGAAAGAATATGATGGATGTATTGAAAGTTAATGGGAATAAAAAAATAAAAGGTATATAAACTGCAGTCTTAAAAATGAAGTTAAAATTTTTTCAGCAGTTTGTATTATAGATTGTATAATCCTTTAACATCCTGAAAATAGAAGAACTTACACAGAGATTTAGTGACTTTCGAGTCAAGCAAATTAGTTGATGAACAGGGATCATACAAGAATATCTTTCTTAATAGAAAAGCCTGAGATGAATAAAAACCCTTAAAATCAAAACACTAAAAAGATTAAGCCAATTGAGTTCCAATCAGCATACTTCTCAGTAGGCAGAAGAGTATTTTCAGCAGTGTTCAATGAGTTCTTTTTAAAAAATGATATCTGAGTGATGAAGTGACTGATACTATTACAATATAGGGAGAAACACTGATGGCACTTCTCTCCCTCCTTATTTGCAGCACTTCCTTCAGTGCAGTTGGTGGTCTTGTTACAGACAGAAGAGCCCACTCAGCATATCCAGTGTTAGATATTTCCAACTTCTAACCTTGCATCTGGGAGAGATTGAGGATGAATGCCCTGAGAGCTCTGAGTGTCACAGGATGAAGCTCACGTAAGTGCCAGTGTGAATACATTTATTCCTGGGAGTAAACATTCTTTTCCCTTTCTCCCTGGACTTTGGTAGAATATCTTCTTATGAACTTCTAGGTGGGTACTGTCCTTACCTAACAAATCTGGATTCTGGGTCGTCTGTTTAGTAAATGCTCTCCGAATCTCCAATGTGCCAGACCCATGCAGCTGTTCTTGTTTGATTGTCGACTTAACTGTGAACTGTGCCTCCTGACATTTGCTTGTGAAGATAACTTTGGCAGAGTTGTTAAGAAGGAGAGAAGGAGATTTTGTGTCAGTTAAAATGCATCAACATTTTAATTGTTTTAGTTCATTTTCTGTCCAGAAAGCTCTTGAAAGTTTGCCCATTGCGCCTGGAAATCCTGGACATTTATTCTGCCCTGGGGGCTCTTGGTGCTCGGGTATATCCATTTGGCCCTATTTCTCTTTGGTATGATTTCATGTTTATAAATTATTGTTTTTCCCTTTTGTAATAAGGCACAGGACAAGATACTAGGGAGGAAGAGGGAATAATTACTATTACCATTCATGGGGAAATAGAAATATGGCAAAACTGTCTTGCTTCCTTGGAGCGTTTGGGATGAACTACCATGATTTGGAAGCATTTTGTGAATTTGCAAAGATCTTTAAGACTAACCATAGGTTTCTGTGTTAATTTCATATTGATTTTTAGCAATTTCAAAAGTTTGAGACTTAGCTTAGTATGTGCTTCTAGGCTTTTTAATTAGATCTGTATATATAATCCCAAACTGTTGATGGAAACTTTATGAATTGTTTTAAGGTTTAGGAGAAAGAAAAAGAAAGAAGCATTTTATCCTTTTACTTAGTGGTGATTTTCCTTATGGTGATTGAAGTGAATACAATGGAGAATTTTACTCTTGTTAGAATATTTTGAATATTTTAAAACTTTTATAATACTGGGCTTTCATATCATTCCACTGTGTTAGAGCATGACATTTTCATAATCCAGTGTTAAAATAAACTTCATAAAATAAGAAATTGTTAAGGCTTTATTTTGTTTTAGAAGGAATGTGTATATTTTTCACTTAATTTTCTAGGCTGCTAATTTAGTTACTAAGAGCTTCATAGATTCTCTTTCTATAAACTAGAGAATTATAGGATGATTTACTAAAGGCAGTGCATGTGGAACAAAATCTAAAGGTTTTACAATAGCTGCTTTTCAGTGAAAAATGTGATTTAACTTTTTTTACCTGGATAATTTTGCTTCCTGTATCACTAAGACATGTCTCATCTTGTCTCCACTTTGATCATCTTTCACAGGGATTAATTCACAACCTCCCCGACTTGTCATTTCCTCTTCATTCTCACACACCACCAGCTAGTTCATTCTGTATTTTAGTAGAAAGCCTGCTGTACTTTAGTAAAGGCTTGGCTCTGAGTCTGGTTTATGCCACCAAATAACACTATGATTTGGGGAAGATTATTTGATAATAATCTCTTCATGCCTCACAGAGTTTTGTGATTAAAGACATGAGATAAAATACATTGGGACGCTTTTTAATGTTTAAGTGCCATATAAGTAAGAGGCATCCCACCCTTATTTATGTCATTCCCTTGCTCAGAAATCTTCAACTGTTTTCTGTTCTTAAGTAATCAATTCAAACCTTTCCTATCATTCAAGGACTCCAATCTCCTACCTTAATATTGCCCCTTAATATTACTCCTTCTTTACTTTTCCAATCCTCTTCCATTCCCTCTCATGCACTATTGATTTCAGTGATGTTTTCCAAATTCTGAGCTTTTGTACATGTTAGTTTTTCTACATAGAATTTTCTGGCCCAAATATTCAAATTGTTGTGCATTCAGGAGGTTTTTCATGACTGTGTTCCTACATATGGAAGCAATCTTTCTATTATCTGAAAAACCAAATCTGTTTTTCTTTATTTCATCACTTTCTATGTTATTTATGGTCAGACCTTATTTCCTGTACTTTAGTTTCTTGAAAGGTTCTTTGTACCCCAAAGTACCTAGAATTTCCCACTGCACATTTTAGTTGCTCTGTAATATTTGATGAATAAATATAAAAGAGCATATTGTTTTTCTTTTTTCTCTCTCTTTAAAATTTTTTTTAAGCTTTTGACGTATAATTGACAAAGTAGTAAGATACTTAACATGTACAGTGTGGTGACTTGATATACATATACATCATAATGGGATTCCCCTCATTGAGTTCATTAACATATCCATCATTTAACATATTTACCATTTTTGTGTGTGTAAGAATATTTAAGTTCTACTCTCTTAACAAATTTCAATTATACAATATAATATTATCAACTATAGTCACACATTAGATCCTCAGACCTTATACATCTTATATTTGAAAGTTTGTACCCTTTTATCAACCTCTTTCTATTCTCCCTCTCCCCAGCACCTGGCAATTACTTTTCTACTCTGTTTCTATGAATTCGACTCTTTTTTTTTTTAGATTTCACTTATGAATGATACCCTGCAGTATTAGTCTTTCTTTGTCTGCCTTATTTTACTTAGCATAATACTCTCCATTTGCAACCATGCTGTTGCAAATAAGATGATTTCCTTTTTTTAAAGGCTAAATAATATTCCATTAAATGTATATTTGTGCGTGTGTGTATATACATAGATATATAATATATAGATAGATAGATATATCAAGATACAGATATTCTTGATCCATCATCCGTTGACGAACTCTTAGGCTGTTTCCATACCTTGACTATTGTGAATAATACTGCAATGAACGTGGGAGTACAGATAACTCCTCGAGGTGGTTTTGTTTCCTTTGGATATATATCAGAAGTGAGATTGCTGGATCATATGGCAGTTCTGTTCTTAATTTTTTGAGGAAACTCCATGCTATTTTCTATAGTGACTATACCAGTTTACATTCCTGCCAAAGTGTATCAGGGTTCCCTTTTCTCCACATTCTTGCCAATATTTATTGTCTCTCATCTTGTTCATACCCATCCTAACATACTGGTTTAGGATAACTTCATAGTGATTTTGATTTGTGTTTCTCTGATTAGTGATGTTGAGCACCTTTTCATGTGCCTGTTGGCCATTTGTATGTCTTTTTTGGAAAACATCATCTGTTCAGGTCCTTTGTCCATTTATTAATTTGGTTATTTGATTTTGGTTTTTTTTGCTATTGAGTTGTATGTGTTCCTTATATATTTTGGGTAATAGCCTCTTATTGAATGTGTAGTTTGCAAATATTTTCTTCATTTCCCATTCCATAAGTTGCCTTTTCATTTTGTTGATGGTTTCCTTTGCTGAGCAAAAGCTCCTAAGTTTGATGTAGTCTCACTTGTTTATTTTGCTTTTGTTGCTTTTGATGTCAAATCTGAAAAATCATTGCCCAGACCAATGTCTGTGGAACTTACCCCTATGCTCTCTTCTAGGAGTTTTACAGTTTCAGATCTTACATTTAAGTCTGTAATCCATTTTGAATAGATTTTTATGTATGGTGTAAAATAGGGGTCCAGTTTCATACTTTTGCATGTGGCAATCTAGTTTCCCCAACACCATTTATTAAAGACACTTTTTTTTTTAAAGATTTTATTTATTTATTTGAGAAGAGAGAATGAGAGACAGAGAGCACGAGAGGGAAGAGTGTCAGAGGGAGAAGCAGACCCCCTGCTGAGCAGGGAGCCTGATGCGGGACTCGATTTTGGGACTCCAGGATCATGACCTCAGCCGAAGGCAGTCGCTTAACCAACTGAGCCACCCAGGCGCCCTAAAGACACTATCCTTTCCCTACTGAATATTCTTGGCTCATTTTTCATAAATTAACTAATCATATATGTGTGGATTTATTTCTAGGTTCTGATTCTATTCTATTGTTCTATATGTGTATTTTTATGCTACTAACATACTGTTTTGATTTTGATGGCTTTGTAATATAAAGTCAGAAGTGTGATGCCTCCAGCTTTGCTCTTCTTTCTCAAGAATCCTTTGGCTCCTCAGGGTCTTTTGTGGTTACTTACAAATTTTAGAATTGTTTTTTCTATTTCTGTGAAAAATGCCATTAGAATTTTGATAGGAATTGCATCATTGAATCTGTAGATCGCTTCGGATAGTGTGGACATTTTAACAACACTAATTTTTTGTTTCTTCTTCAATTTCTTTCATCAGTGTCTTATAGTTTTCAATGAATAGATCTTTTACTTCCTCGGTTATATTTATTCCTAAGTATTTTATTCTTTTTTAATGCTATTGTAAATGAGATTGTTTTCAGATGAAGATTTTTTCAGACTTGAAGGATTAATAAAACATTAGTTTCAGAGAAATTAAGACTATCATTTTTCTTATTCCCCGAACTCCTTTCAAGAAGTTTCTGTGCTTAATGGATCCTAAAGAAAAAAAAAATGTTACTATGATGATGATTACAAGTATGTACAGATTGCAAAAATATGTCAACACTAATTTTTTAATTGAAAGTTAGATAATGAGCAAATTTTTCATTAAAAACTACTTTTCTGTGTAGAGATTTGTCATTGAAGGTTATCAATTTCTTCTGACAATCCCCTCAAGTTAGTAATATCTCTTGCTTAGACTTTACTTGCAGGGACAAAATGCTGGAATATTGTGAAGGCAAGGAAAAATTTTTTCTGTACCCTCAACGTCTTCCAGAGAGACAGATTAACAGGAGAAAGAACAACAGCTTTAGAACATGTGCACAGAGGCCCAATAATGAAATTGAGTCCTAAAGAAATGACCAAGGCAGGCAGTTTTTGTACTTTTTAGACAAAGTAACAATAAATCTGTGAGGAGGAGTTGACAGGACAAAGAAAACTTAACTTTGTGATCTTCAATTAGTAAATAATTCGAAACAGAATTTGTGTTGTGTAAATTAGTAAGAAGTAATAAGGGTTGTTTATACAGCCTTCTCAGCTCTAAATTTCCCATCTCTGACAATAAGGATGTCTCTTTATTTTCTAGTACCTGGAGAGTATCGTTCACGTGAGAGATTTATTTCCTGCT